AAAAAATGAAACCCAAAGCTTTACTCTCATTGCTGACTTTTTTTTTAATCTACAAAAAATGGTACGTCAATGCCCACATAGGCCACCCACAGACTCCATCCTGTTTCCGCAATTTTTTTGATCCTCGCTCCTCCTCACCCTCTCCATTCTCTGTTTAAAATACTCAAGTGTTTCATGATAATAATAGTAAACTTGGCCGGCAAACGAAAACGTGGGTAACCAACATTTGAACTTGTTTATTGGTCCATCGAAAGGCAATAAACAAACGGACTAATGAAATACAAGACATGAGTAATAAAAAACAAACAAAATGGATTGCATATTATTTGAATGAATATAAATATAGAGAAGGTCGGAAATATATTTAAAAAAACACCACCAATATAATCATCAATCATTTTTCTTGCTTTAGGTGTCCACATTATTTTAATAGGTAATAATTTATAGGAAAAATAGAGAGATATTTGCACGCAGCCATATTATGCGGGGTGTCAATTTGAAAACTTCTCACCCCTATTATCTCAGAAATTGAATATTTTGGAAAAATTCCTTGAAACACTACTACGTCTACCATAATTTGAACTCCCTTGCTTCTAGAGCCACCCCCTAAAAAATCTTGAATGGGAAGGAAGCTCAAGTGATACCTACATCATTTTGAAGACTGATTCGAAGTCTCTGCTGTCAACGTCAACCTTGTCAAAATCTTGAAGAAAGCGTTAGTTTTTAGTTAATAAATAAATTAATCACTTACGTTAAGCTACTTCGAACCAACCTGGGTGGTATGAGGAGTTTCAGAAAACGCCAAAGGTCCTTTGAACATCATACCAGATAAGTCGCTAAATATCGCGATGAATTATTTATTAAGTAAAAACAAACAGTTTCTACAAATAAATAAATAAACAGGTCCTTATTTTCACCATGAATAATCCCATTTACAGAAAAAAGTACAAAAAAATTAACAAGCAACTGACGCAACTGTATCTATAAAGTAAAAGAAAAGCAGGTAGCGACAAAAATGGTATTATAGGTAAATGCAAATAAGGCAGGATGATAAACAAAATTGAAGTATATCATTACAAAAAAAAAGGTAAGCAAGTTAAGCCAAAATCTAAATATTCAGTACAGCCTGAATTATTAAGTGTATAGAATCGACATTTATGTCACAGTCTCTAGAAACCTCATCTAAAACTCCACATAAAATATAGGGTGATTCATTTTGGGATTATTTAAATATGGCAACACTGGTTTGCTGGCAGCCATATATGGCTGAAATTTGACATGTGTCATAAGCGAGTATCGAAATTTACGAATATGGACCGGTATTCAACGCAAGAACGCATTTTAATTATTGCTAAAACCTGTTTCCAAAATGGAGAAAATGTAACTAACACGATGCGTCCATCACGAAATAACTTCGGTCCATCTCGTGCAGCGCTTAACGAATTTGTTCAAAATTCAAGAAACGGTAAAATTTTTGAATCAGTTTGTTAACCGCGGCACGAGATGGACGGTTATGGTTACCGAAGTCATTTCGTGATGCACGTATCGTGTTAGTTAGATTTTCTCCATTTCGGAAATAGGTTTTAGCAATAGTTAAAATGCGTTCTTGCATTGAATACCGGTCCATATTCGTAAATGTCAATGGTCGCTTATGACACATGTCAAATTTCAGCCATATATGGCTGCGAACAAACCAGTGTTGCCATATTTTAATTGTAACCTCAAACTGAATCACCCTACATAAAGGATTTCTGTGTATAACATTTTGGTTCTGGCAGTCTGCAAATAAAATGTCTCATTATAACCACATACAATTATTTACACAAATCACCATCACGTTCTTTGAATTCTATTTCCTCTTCAGGTGAAAAGTAAGGAACACAAGTCACAATCACGTCACAACATTCAGATCACAATTTCAAACTCAAAGTCAAGATCAGAATCAATACCATAAACAAATAACATTAACAAACAGGGACGTAGCGAAGGCCTCTGGTTTGGGGAGGGTGACATTCCTAATTTTCCCAACTTTTTTGAAACATTAAAAAAAAATCATATATAGCATCGTACGCGTGTTAAGAAGTGGAACTTTTTAAAAACTATTCCCTTCCTCATACAACTTTTAGACATAGCGCATAAGTCGGGGTATAAAGACGAAACTACGCTACACAAAAGAAAAACGCGCATCTGTAGTGACGTCACAAAGGTAACGGCGCTTGACAATAATAGGCAATCTTCTTTGTTTATAATCCTTGGTTTGTGTGAATCGTTCGTCGGCTGTCATTGTCATTGGCTGTATTTCCCTGTCTCTCTACGTTATATCTTCCTTCTCTCTCGTCTCTCGTGTGCCGAAATTTGCCAAAATGTGTCATTATGTTAACGTGACGCGTCTTTCAAAACACTTTACAAGAAGTTTCACTTAAGAAAAATCATGTGTAGCATTGTGCACGTGTTGGGAGGTGAAACTTTTTAAAAACTATACCCTCCCTCATACAGCTTTTAGACTTAGCGTATGAGTCAGGGTAAAGACGAAAGGTCACACAAAAGGGAGACGCGCATCTATAGTGACGTCACAAGGGTATCTGCGCTTGACAACCATAGGCAATCCTCTTTGCTCATAAACCTTGGTTTGTGTCAATCGTTCCTCGTCTGTGATTGTCATTGGCTCGCTTTCTCCGTCTCTTTACAGTCTACTATATATTCCTTCTCTCTCGTGTAACGAAATTTGGCAAAACGTGACGTTACGTGATGCGTTTCCCAAATCACTTTCTATATTCTTGTCTAAATATCAGACCGCCGCGCCGCCTAAGAAGTTTCACTTCAAAAACTGATGAAAAGTTTGACATGTATACTGGGTGTCCCGGATAAGAATGCAGTCTGATCTCGGCAACCATAAGAGATACAGGGTTGGGTAAATTTGGAAAGAGTTGCGCATTACTGAGCTCAGTGGCGTCATGTTTTGTTTTCGTAAATTCCGAATTATATATTCCGAAGATATCCATGAAAAACTGAATTTTGCCGAAATCGTTTTTATTTTTTTCTGACTTTATTTGAAATGATATCGCACAATAAACTTTACATTCTCATTGTTACTTTTTCTCCACTACATGATACTGTTATTAGATTTTTGATCAGACGTTTCGTTTCTCGCGATCATCATCAACTTTGTTTTTTCAAATGGTCGAGTTTTTTTTATTTTATGCCTAATAAACTCTACTTTTTAATCTAAATCCAACGACATATCAAGCTCATAATTCCAATAATAATAATTTCCACTAGTGGTTCCATAAACGGGCCTCCGCGATCTCCAGACATTACACCGATGGATTCTTAAAAGTCAGTTAAATTCATTCTTAAGTATTTCTCAAAAGACAATAATAATAATTAGTCCTCGCAAATAAGGTGCGCAAATTTTTGTCTACCAATTTTTCCCAACTTTAAATTTTTTATCCAAGTTTTCCCAACGTTCGATATATTTTAGGAACTTTGGGGGGGGGGCGTTGCCCCCCCCCCCCCATGGCCCCGTCCCTGTTAACAAACCAATATGCAATGACAGTAGTGACAGAAATTCGCGAAATACTTAAATTTATTCAAACTTTTTTGCGATTTATTCGCACTTTCACGTAGGCGAATTTCGCGTTTATGAATATGGATAAAATACGCGAATGTGCGCAATAAAAATTGTCTGTCAAAAATGTGTTACCAAAGTCTATGTTACAGATATTAATAATAAATGATTTATTTTTGAAAACTTTATCACCCTGTATCTCACAAGTTCAGACGCTTAGGAGATACATACGCTCATAGGGAGTTTTCTTCTTAAAATGGACCCAAAGTCCAAAGATCGCGACCTCAAAAATTGACATTGAATTAGAAAACATCCCAGGAAACACCCTGTATGCTATCTTTTTGATGTGAACTTGCAACTGCAACGATATTATTTAAATAGTTTTGTTTTTGGGCGAAATAGGTACCTACCTACAAGCAAAGTCCATTAATTCAAAATCATTAAGACAGTCATCATAGGTATTAGGCAGGCATTTTTTATGTTTATATTATCGATATTTCGGTTTGTTCAGGCACCAAATAGGCATCTCTTTTGAAAGAAAAAATATAAGGAAAATCAATTTGCCAAGAAAAATAGACCTCCATATACTCTTTCAAACTTAACACACAAAAATACTCTTTCCACAGAAAAAAAACAAATGTCCAGTTGAAAAAAAAAAAAAAAAAAAAAAGCATGCTAACGTCTACAACTGTGATACGATTGGCGATTGGAAAATTGGCATCAGGGTAGGTAGGTATATCATATCCCTTAATAGTAATATAATTGGATTTAAAATAAAAAATATTGAAATCTAACTAACGTTCTATCACTTCTATCTAATATAATTAAATTAAATGTTCTATGGCAAGCAAAAAATTAATGCCGGTTTATATCTTTTTTTCACTGTATAATAATAATAAACATACAATGTTTTCTTAACATTAAGTAATAAATACATCGCTTTATCTCGTACAGTAGAAGTTTTTGAAAATGTTTTCGATCGCACACGTTGATGGCGCGAGAAAATTATGTAAGTAAGCAGTTAGATTGTAATGTAGTAGGCAAGGGTTATTTTTAAAAAGGGGTTGGTTGAAGGTGAACGACCTTCCGATAATATTTTTTTTCTATAAACAAAAACTTGAAAAATAATCTTTCATTACGGTGCGTTTGAATAATTTGTAAGTACCTATATGGGCGGACGCTTTTAAATAGGCAGCATTTTGTAATGTAACGCCGATATACATTTTCGTTTAATAGACATGTGGAGCGTGAAATTCAACAAACACTGTGCTAAAATTTATTTCAATAAAATGATCTAGTATTACAAAAAACCAAACCGGTCTGTTTCTATTCAATAACTACGTATAATGTGAATTATAAGTGGCTATTAATAGATACATGACTGAAAAAAAAAATTGAAATAGGCGAAGAAAATTTAAAAAATTTGGCTTACCACAACTTGTATAGGAGCAATCTCGGATAGGTATTTTTAACTTACGAAAAAAACTCGATAATTCAATGGCGGACGCTATGTGACTGTGAGAACTGAGAATCAAAGAAATTTCGAGGAAGCAAGGGGAGACCGCCACAAACTACAAAGTAGGCACAGCCAACAGAAACGAATTTGACATCAGCCCAGTGTTGCCGTTATTGCCACTAATCCCACTAAACACTATACCTGAATATCTACCTACCTGCGATGTAAGGTAAATCCACTAAATTCAGTGAAAATATTGTACACTACTGTAACGTATCCTCCTGAGAAAATATTCCGCTATAGGCGATTGGTTCCGTACTGCGTGGCATCGAAGCATTCATTATATTCATGAGCCAAAGCTTGGCACATAATGATTAATTAAAATGAGCAAAAATTTGTTTCATTACTTCCACCATGCAGTTATCAGTGGAACAAACGTGCGCCGGCTCAAACCGAGACCGCATTAAATATCAATGTTCATTTTGTTTAAATATTTACGCGCTCAGTTGCGTAGTAATTTTCGTTTCAGTTCCGGAGTTTTTACAATTGTTTCAAAATTTGTGTGGAATAAAACTAAACAACTGTTTTGGGATAGTTGGTGCAGTGTCAAAATCGTAAGTGTGATTTCAAATAGACTACTACATTTCAAATTACGGCCCTGTCCACGGATCCTTGGTGCATATACGAGATATACTACCCAACTGCGCAAAATCGCATTTTTTCCCTCGCTCGTAATGTGGGAAATTCGCAGAGTCGATAACGTCCTTCGACCTCTTCGGCAAGGCAAGCCATTTAGTCTTCAGATCAGGATAAGGTGAGTGTTACCGAATTGATTTTTGTCTTTTCCCGCGGGAAAAAACCCGATTTCATTCATTTTCCAGATAACAGAAGAGTGCTCTATATTGTATTGCAGTTTCACAGTAGAATGCCGAAATTACCACCCGGCCGTTATAATATCAGCATTACTTTAAAAATAAGCCCTGGCGCATCTTCAGAACGGAACTTCTTAAAAAGTACTCTAAAAATGCCTTAAAATAGGGCTTTAACAGTGCTAAAACCCACTGATTTCATAATTATACTTATTTTACACACAAGAAAATCACTTTAGAAGTACTGCATAAATGCGCATTTGAAGTGTTGCATATAATATTTTAGTATTCTGTCAATCTGTCGCTCGCTCATAAGCTCCTTTCTTTTGTGCCTGGTGCCCAATGTTTTGTGTTGGTTCAGGATGGTCCATATTATGTAACTTCCTTTGTTTCCCTATGTAGAACCATAAGCCATATATAATAAAAATTATGCAAAATAAAAGAGTACTTATTTGCTGCTTTGTAAGTTCGTCCCGTTTGATCGCCGCTAACCAGACTATAGTCGAATTTTTCTTGATAATTCATTCAAATGGGGAAAACATACTGAACTGGTCATGCTTGGGCCCTGTAGGAAGATGTCCCTTTCTTGGCGACTTCCACATCCCACAACCAGACACTAGACACTTATCCGGATTTAACATCCTATATAGATATTTTTCTGCCTAACTAGATCATATAATTCGAAACCCCGTGCGTAACAATCTTATCAAACTATTTTTGTCTTTGAAAACGCTATCAAAAATATAAAAACATACAGGGTGTTCTATTTAAAAAAATTATTTCTTACGTGTCACACTTTTTTGACACCTCCTGATTAGTCCTGATATATGCGCAAATACAAACAAATCAAGTAATGATTTAAACCCTACAACTTTTGTGTAAAACTTTTTGTCATAAAATATCTACATTTTTATATGTACCTACTGAGATAGAACAAAATAAACGGACGACCCTGTTCATTGTGCTATCTGAGTTTCTGGATAGTACGAGAGAAAGTGATGAAAATTTACGTTGTATCTCGTATCTCATTCCGGCTGAAACCGTATCCAATTATCGGACATTTTGTTTGAGCACATTATCAAAATAATGTCAACAAACCTTATCTATGTTCCATAACATCCTAGTCTGATTTACGGAATCTTAGTAGATAATCTTCCGAGAACACGGTTTTCAGACAGCGATAACACCGCGCGTACTTACCCAGGAGAGCGTTTTGAAAAACAAAAAATGTTCAAAGTGTCTTATCAGAAAATCATTTTTATAATAATTAAATCAATTGTCGCCTTACATTTCGATAGTATTTTGAAGATGTCGAGAGATCTAGCCAAACTGTCAGAACTAAATGAAAAAGACCAAAGTCAAATATTACTATGCCGGGTGTTCGAATAAGGGTACTAACCGTGCGTTCGTTATTTTGGTCTGAGTTCTCCGAGCTTGACTTTACCGTTCGTTTTTTCAAAAAGTGTACTCGGTGTATCCTCATTCGCGTTCGTTTATTAAAATTTCTGGCACTTTTATACAGCGTTCAACTGCTCTGTTCGCTCGCTGGTCACGTGGTTACGGCTCCGCTCTGCACGCTCTGCTCTTCGAGCAAAATACCGAACGCAAGGAAACTTACAAAGCAGCTGTATGTCGACAATGCTAAGGCCTAGAGGTTTGGGGAAAAAATCCTTATGAATAAAGTGAGAAATGGCTGGAAATTATTTTGGAGTTCGTAATTCGACCGCTATGAAAAAACATAAAATTCACGCTATAGGAAAGTTGAACGATGAGCTGCTATAACTTTGGAAACATCATTTTCATAGCTTGGATAATACCGCAGCATTTCTTCGTATCTGTCATAATATGCCAATGCATTTGCCAATATTGACATCCTAATATCTTCTGAAAAATTCAACCAATTTTATTGTTTCTGGTCTAGCTTGAAAGAGCATTTTATGGTCTTTTGAAAGTAATTTTTTATTGAACCGTTTAGTTTAAAATCCAGGGGCCGTTTCGGCCGTTATCTGCAACAATGACAAATTTTTGTAATTTTTGGAACAAAAAAGTAAAACGGAACTATTTTCTTGACCTCCTTTAAAGCCAATCATAAAATTTTAGTTATATCTCAATCGTTCTCGATTTATTTATTTATTAAAAAAGTATTTTTCACAATAAATGGTTGACTCTTTTTAACTACCTGGACGTTTTGAAAGAGCTAGGCCATGAATAAATGGGAATACAATGGGTAGTTTTATTGCAGTCATTAACTCGATACCAATTGTGAAAAATACTTTTTACCAGTGTCGAGACACAGCCGCTCCGTACCCCTATCCGGATATCCCTATACGGTTAGACAAACTTTGGTAGGGACCATCAAAACAAACAAATTTTGCTGCATAAACATGTGTTCGAAGACGCTTCGTTTTCGAGATACAAGATGTTTATTTAGCCAATTCTAATGAAATGTTCATAGTTTATTGCGAACCATATCAGGCATCTTTTCCGAGTGCATACAGTCATTCCAGGGGCGTGCTCAACAGGCAAGTCTGTGGATTTTTTGTATAAAAAAATACTACCCAATAGCTTTTTTTGAAATTTTTATAATTTTCTAAGTAAATGCAACTGAAAACAACCCCTTCTTCACTTGCAGATTTTGCGTATCTTGATTAGTTTAAAAAAAAAAATGCCAAAAACTATATTGATGCAAAAATTAAGTAATACAGACTTGTCTGGAATAATTACTGTGTCAAGTGTATTGGATCTCTCTAATTTATGCATACGTATTTTAATTTTTTTTTCCCCAAAAATTAAGCCCAAATTTGCTTACCTGCATAGTTAATTAACGTTGGTAAACCGTGTATAATAAAAGTCAGTCGCAGGTAAAATGGTGACCCGAAATGGTTGGAAATAGGATCTTTTATGGCCTAATAAATCTCATTGGGTATTGGCTGTAAAATTTGGCATTGAGGTTTTATGGGGGTCACAAACTATATTTTGAATATTTTTATACGGCTGGCTGGATACATTTTGATAGTTTATACATCTCAGGTAGGTATTATACCTACATATACAGGGTGTCCCACCAGGAACCAAATCCATATATATTTATGAAAAACTATATGCAGAATATTTTTGAAAATTTGACAGTATACACATGTTTAATGAGGTAACCAGGCTAAAACAATTTCAACATGGTGACACTTTCGGTCATACCGGAAGTAGGCATCAACTTGCTTATTTTAAATGAGACACGCCATATATTATTTCATTCGTGGTTTTTACTCTAAGTCTAAGCATTTTTGACATGTTTAATTTTTTATGTCAAAAATTACGTTTGCAAGCAATATAATTATGAATTTTATTTCCTATAAGAAATATTTTATTATTTGATTTGGGTTGAATTACTTGTTGACAAGAACTTCCTTCAAAGGTTTTTTTTTTTTAAAATTTGAACTTTAATCTGTTCAGAAAACATAAAATTAAAATTGAGAAAACTGCCGATTAGAATTTTATCTTATTTAGCATTAAAAATAAGGGTAAGTTTATGTGATGTTTTCTATTCCGAAAATGTTTAGTTTTGGAAATACCAATTTAAATTTTTTTGTAAATATGATGATTCTGCTACCGATTTTAAGTTCAGCTGGCTATGATTAATAATCATGCCGAGGCGCTTAAATTCTACAAACAAAGATTATTGATTTGAGAACATCTGGTTGACACATTTGCAATTCGATATCCTTAAAAACCAAAAACATTGCCATATATAGAAATATTAAATTGCAATAGGTATTTCGAAAACTAACCCTTTCAGTACGGCTGACGCAGCCTATGCGACACCGAGGAAACGTGCCACACAGACGGCTGTCGCATATAGTCGACGGCATGTATTCTGTCCTGGACGACTGTCGGTTGGGATGCGACGCATTCAATTTTTAAATTTGGCATACAGACTGCCGTCGCAACATTTGCGTCCACCGCATGCCAAACGCTCAGGCCACTGCCACATATTATAGTCGACACCGTCGATCATATGCGACATCCGGCCACCTTGCAAGTCCAGGACGACTGCCACATATAGTCGACACTGTCGATCATATGCGACATCCGTTTATATTTTCGCGCCGGTAAGGCTCAAGATGTCGTCAGAGAATGTAGCTGGTCCCTCGTTCCAAGAGCGAAAAAACAAAAAAACAAGTTACCATAGCCATTGCGGATTATCTAATGCTGCTACGTAATATTTTAATGTCGCACATAGTCGACACCCGA